TAGGCCACTCTTTGTGAAACGGAGGGAGTATTATTATTTTTGGCTAAAATTGAAAGAAACTCAATGCTAATGAATATGACAAAAAGTCTGCCCAAATTCTTGTGGTGGAGTTTATTTTTATTATTATAGTTATAATGTCAAATTCAATTAAATTTTATCACACTAAATATATTGTTATTGTATTTTTATTACTTTTATTTTTACGTTCATAAACTTGTTACTAGCATAGTGCTAGTGGTCCAAATTATGAATAACGTAAAAGATAATAGTAATAAGATATAAACTTTGTGCTTGTATCACGTTGGAAGTGTCACCTCCAAATAAGTTATGTTATGTGCGATTTAATTTTAATCAATGCTCTAAACACCGAATAGAAAAAAAAACTAAAAAAAAACTTGGTACTTGTCATCTCAATGACTGAACTATAGTCATCTTGGGACCAAACAAAAGGTGATCATTTATCAACTTTACGAATATTTTTATGGAAGCTAATTCAAGGGCTCGAGAGTTTGATCTTGAACTTGAAGAAATTAAATTGGATGATTCAAAAATTTGATCTTAATTTGATTTATTGTGCATCACGAACAATTTAATAAATTAAAATATATATGATTGATCTATGTTGTTACGTAGTAAGATATTAACTTGATAAATATTGATTGATCACTTGTAAGTATGTTACACTTTGAATTTCAAGAGGGTTTTCACCTAATGCCTCGACAGGATTTCAGTGATGAGATCTGATGGCAGAAAAGGAATTTCTTGCAAAAGAAAAATCTACGTACTTAAATTTGTATAAAATTAAACAAGTAGACATATACATTCTACATGTCATCCTATATGACAATTTGTATCCTACATGGCATCCTACGCTTAATATGTCACGTAAGACGTGTGTGCTTACTTGTTCGAATTTTATACAAGTTTAAGTGTTATTTATGCACACGTGAAATTACGTTGAATGACGTACATGCTAACTGAAGCCAAGTTAAATGACACATAATACATAAACGTACTTTAACTTATTTTGATTGTAAGCAGAACATAAACACTTTAGGTGTGCATCAACTATACACTCTCATAACGAGTAATGTTATATGTATGATATGAATAGTATGATGATTGACTTCAATGCTAATGGTGATCTCAAAGTTCAACGAATGAACGAAGCTATAATCAATATTACTTGGATAAAGATGATGGTATTCCTCTGAAGTCTCCAAGCCGACCATAACAGAAAATATAGGCAAAGTACACAAAGAATTGGTTCAAAAGAAGTCTTGACTAAGTGCTGCAAGTTGCTTCAGAATAACTTTCGAATTGTTCCATTAACAAACGTTCATGTCTTAGAAGGGAATTGCATTCCTTAACAACAGTTCTCCAATAATCACTCTTTAGACTATATATTTTATCTCACCTTGACACAAATTATCGTATTTGTACGAAAAGAAGATACTTACTATCTTATAATCATCAAGAAACTCATCATATCCAAAATCACCAGAGGCGGAGCCAGAATTTCAGGTTTGTGGGTTCTATATTTTTAAAAGGATAACGATATTAAAAATCACAAAGCACAAATTATGTTAATGAGATGTAATTAGTCATGTTTGAAAATGTTGTCTTAGATATTGTTATTCTAAAAACTTATTTTAATAATATGAAGATTTGAGTAATTTAATTTAAAGTTCTAAAATATTGTTAATGAAAGATGAATAATTTTTTAAATATAAATTTCAAACATTTTTATTATAATCTTCAATATCATTTTAAGTGAGAAAAAATTATTAAATTCACCATTAATATTTTCGCACCTAAAATATATATTTTACTAGTTTCATTGTGACCTTGAACCATTACCACCTTCAAAAGTTAAAATTTCGAAAAGCAAATAACAATTATTCACTATAATCAATTATCAATATGTGGGATAACCCTAGAATCAAAGTTTAAAAATTAATTTTTGAATAGATAATCCTACGGTCTAAAAGCAAACAAATAAGAAAAAAATGAAAAAGAGAGGCGACAATACATAGTACATATCGAAGGGCAGAGGTCGGATGATAGCAATCATATCAACAATAAAAGTTAGAACCCTAACTTTTGAAAATAAATTTGGGTTAAAGTTTTTGAATATCTTAGTACAAATCAATGAAAATATATTTGGGTTAAAGTTTCTTTGAATGTTTGAGTAGAAATCAATAGTTGGATATCATTTTAGAGTATGACCAAAACACTATTTTTATTTTTTTTATATCATTAACCGATTTTCTGTTTTTTTTCTAAAATATAAATTATCATTTGCCAGTTTTCTATTTTCTATTTAAAAAAATCCAATGTTTTTATCTGAAATTAATTCCAAAAACAAAGTGCCGAGAGTGGGTTTCGAACCCATGACGCGCGTACTGAATGACTTCACTAGGTGCGTGGAGACCACTAGACCACCCGTCTCATTATGCTTGGGGCTTCGCAGGAAATTTATGTGTACGTTTTATTTGATATTTTAATACGAATATAGAATCTACGGAAAAGTCAGTGGATTCGCCCGAACCCCCTTCCGCTACAGTATATCCGCCCCTGAAAACCACATTTGAAACAATGCCTATATCTAGGTCTAAAATCAGACAATTTCTTAAACTTTCTAATAGACGGGTTTCATATAAACAAATTAGTGCACTCAATAACAAAACAAATCAATCCATTGACCGAACCCACGATCGTTCTTCAAGAGTGATTTTACTGGAAACCTCGAGAGAATTTTAGTGATGAGTTCAAACGGTAAATTAGCTAAACTATACCTATGTTAACTAACTAACTAGTATATATTTACTTATTCCCGTAATTTCCCCATAAAAAAACTATTAAGAAAATAATAGGTTAAAAATAAAATCTTGTTTGAATTTTAAAATTCCAAAAGTGACATATTAGTATTTATTTGTATATTCTATATATAATAAGCCACAATGCAACTATGATTGTAACTATCTTGTTAACTTTCAATCAAAAGCTAACAAGATTTTTAGTTACATAGTTAAATAATAAATATGTCATTTCTATATATATTTATTACTCATTCCTTTTGAATTTGTTAATCTGATTTTGATCTGACACATAATTTAAGAAAATAAATTAGATTTTGAGAAAAAACATTAAGAGGTCGTTTGGTAGAGTGTATTAGGAAAAATAATGCATGCATTAACATTGTGTATTACTAGTACCTTGTTTGGTACTCTTTTCCAACCTATGTATAACTAATGCTTGCATTAGTTATACACTCTATTGTGTATTAAGGTGTGTATTGCTAATACCATGGATTTCTAGGTATTAGCAATGCAATGGTTTTAATGCATGCATTAGATTAACTAATGACAAAACTACCCTCTAAGCCTAATAATAATAA